GCGTAATTTATCAGTTTATTAATAGATATTACTCGTTAAAGTTGGGATATTATTGTGTAAGGGAAGAACGATGTTAAAACAACAGTCATATCATTTATCGGCTTGTTTCACGCGTCATTTCTAAAACTATAGCGCTAAACTTTAGTATAATTCTGTCAGGGAAATGACGTATACTCCTTAAAACAGTGATGACTCTAACAAGTTCTCCGCTTTATCTTAAGGTTCCAGAAATAATACTTTTACAATCGGAGACGAACGACTTGGACTCGTAACTTCCGAGCAACGAATAATTATGCTTTTCATTCTTGGCGATAAATGGCTCCGGAAACTGCGACTTATATGAAAAAGAAACGTCGATCGATTCGCATAGATTGATACGTTTCGTGTTCGTTCCACTCGTTTAAATTGGCAAATACTTTCAAAATTATCAGGATTTACGCTAGTTCGCGGGCTTTTGTAACTTTTTTTTCTGTTTAAAAGACTACTGTTCGTGATACAGGCCCCTTTTTATCTATAAATCAATTTGTGCAACATTACGATTTATTAAACGATTACGTAATTGCAATGAGCCAACGTACGTTATCGCGCTTGTTCGATCATAATGAAATGCACACCGGTTATAGAGAAATAACTGCGTAATTAGTAATATAAATCGCGTTAAATAACGTTACGGATTTAACCCTGACACGAGTGTAATAGAAAAGATCTTGAAGTGTATTTTGCGTGTCGACAAATATTCCTTGTAACGCGTTAACTATTTCTTACGTCGTATTTCTTGTATTTCCTTTCCCATGATGTATACGTAAATATTTTATACTCCCATGTAAATCATATCTTTCTTCATCACAGTTTGCGTCATTCTACGAAGAAGAAACAAAAACTACAGATGAATAATAATGCTACTTATTGCTCTTCAAATATGTAAATCGTTTACTCAATCATTCATCCACGTGGTGTAATGTATGAGTTATATACCTAAGAGATTAGGTCGTGCAACAGGATTGCAAGTACACATAGATATCGTCCAAGATCGCAAAACCAATAAGAAGAAGAAATATAAATCGACGCCCATATTCAATATATCTATAAAGATTCGCCGTATGATCTAATTAATTGGCTTATACTTTCGCAAACGTGGAAAAAAGATTTATATGACTTGAATTTGCCGCTTGAGTCTCTTTCTCTGTGTTACGAGGCGCGGCTTGTCCTTGCGTATAAGGTAGGTAGTTGCGTGTGTTTACTGAGTTTACTGCATAACTTGTTGCACCAGGCGATATGCTTCTTGAACAGCTTATACACCATAGACACTCGTGTACCTAGAACTCTGTAATCGTCGTCGTGATCGATATTGCACAATTCCTTGTGTTTTGCTCGTCTGTGAACTAGCTAAAATTCATGTGCTTCGAGTGTTTCTAGCTGTCGAGTATTTTTCAGGTATCTAGTAATACGAGTATTATTGATTTCTCGAAATTTCTTAATGATATCTTACACGATGTAAGGAATGCAGTACGATGTTATTATCAGGACCACGATTAGCAGAACGATCGATCATTGATAGAATGTTTAAAGATAATACTTCACGAGAAATATTTGAAGATAAGAATAAAAATTCAAAGAAATTGTGACGTTTTTATTTCGAAATCCTTATTGGATCTTTTCATAGTCGATAATATCGTATATATGTATTTACAAAATTAAAAATAATACCGAAATTATACATACGCGGACAAAATATAAATAATATGGAATATTAGAAATATTAGAAATATTTAAAATAAATGACCACGTGGAAAAAGAATTATTCTATTACCTGGAAAATTCAATTATTCAAACAACGTGTGTCGTGATCAGTTCGAATAATCAAGATTCTACTGTAGTTCGTTCGATAAGTAGAATAACAAACGTCCATCTTGGCGAGGTTAGCAACAGTATCGATGACAGTTTGTTCCACATGCACGTGTTTTCCGTTCGGCTGTGTAACTTTTTCCGCGCGTTTTCTTCTCACGCTCTATCAATGAAAATTACTGAACGACTAAGTACGTATCACCCTGACCGAAATTCACCACTCAAATGAAGCGATTTCTTCCCATTGTGTTCACTGTTACAAAGATTATGCGATATTGGTTGTACGAAACGATTGGGGTTATGTTTACTTAAAAGTCTTCTTAAATTTTGCCTTTACGACTCGACGTAGAACAAAAAGTTGAAACATGTAACTAAGATATAAGCTTGTTGATAATGAATTTATTAATGGGTAAGAAACTAGAGACATAAGAAACGTGTAAGAACTTGAACAACTTAAAAGTTGTAGGATCTATGTCATCGGTGACCCTGAAATATACTGGATTCATTCTATTCGTGAGTATCATTGTACACGCGGCATAATACATATACGAGAATAAATATGACGTACGTGAATGACACGGTAAATGACATTCGTATTGTATTAGTTGTACTATCTATTTCTTATTAATGCATTCCACATTAAGGAGTCTCGCTGCTAATGATCAGAGTCGAAGGCTGGAACAACAGACTTGCATAACAAATAACCTCACAAATACTAAACAGGATTAATAGAAACGATGTTTTTGGCGTTATTCATCGTGGTTTGGGCATTCGTTCATCAATGGTAGTAATTGCTCGTTGTAATAATTTAACCTCCTGGAGCTAAAAGACACGAAAAGTTTCAATGAAATTTGATTCGAGTCGCACACGTGGATCCTATGAACGGTAAAGTAGTTGGTAGAAGAACGAAAAATTATCGAGAAAAAGTCAAGGACAGCATGAATTTTTAATGAATCGTTCCGATACCGTTGGTACGGCCTCGACGTATGGCAGTAGGATGGAACTGTGAGTATGTGGGACGCCACGTATGGTCCCGGTCATCGGGATGAACATGTATGGTCATCGAACGTGTGTCTAGTTAGTAGGGACGTGTGTCGAGCGCATCGAAACTATGCCACCGACCGGGAATCGTTCCAAGACTTTGGTCAATCACGCGCGATCATCATCTTTAATAAAAACCGGTTCTCTTTCCCCTTCACATCATTGATATTTGTAGATTTGTTGCTTTTTCTTCTTTAAGAAGATATATTCGGTTTACGTGTTCATTTAAAACTTGAAATTGCGTATTTGAAAGTTAAGATAAAATTATGTGTATACTTTTATTTAGAGGATTTAGACACATAAAAGTTCATCGAATGCACCAAAGATGCGAAGATATATAAAATACTCGAAGCACTTATAGTGCTTCTTACGAATGATGATCAAAATTTTCTGCTTAAGTACCATTTCCTTAGTAGTTACATAGTTTCTTTAATTCGTAAAAGTATGAAATTGTATAAATATCCACAGGCTAATAATTATGTAAAATTTATAACACTTTGCATACCACGTAAATAAATATGCAACCGATAATATACCGTCTGTATCGATAAATGCGATTCGAGGACAGCAAAAGTCTCGTGAAATAAATAGCTTGGTCATATTTGATTTCTATCTGCTAGTAATTTAATCGTACTGCTGCAAAATCACCGTCAGGATTTGTCATATGTATACCTTTTTGCTTATGTCTCGCTACATAAATTAGCTCATTTATTTCGATAGATAGAAAACAATGCGCATCTATTTACGAGCAAATATAAACCGGAAAAAGGCAGCGGGCGTGTCTCTGATTGCACGTGCGTGAACCAAAGAGAAACGATGCTTGCTGATGCTGATCACTTAACGGTACCGTCGATTTCGAAGAGGAATCCATTACGCAGCCGGAAAATCAAAAACAATCAGCACGATTTTATTAATATTTCTATTTTAATGACATTTTATAATTTAGAAAAAGGAATATTTTAATACGCAGTAGCTAATAGCTGAAAGGATCTGTTAAATTCAATGATATAGTTGAGGAAATATTGTAGAAGACAAAGGTATATGTAACTTAAGACAAACGATATCTTTTAATATCTTTTAATATATTAATCTTCTTAACAAGAGAAATATTTGTGGCGAGAAAGGAGGAAAAATGTTTGTGCCAAAATTAAATAAAAAGATAATTGTGATAACATGGATATGATAGCAATCTAAGTAGTGTATTTTAAAACTGTTCCCCTGCAAAAAATGGAAATTGTGTTCTTTCTCTAATCTTCGTATGGAAACGGATTTTATAAGAAATTATTATTACTGTTTCAAGATAGTGGATGATAGTTCGTTAATCGTTCCGTGAGCAGATTACCGTTATGTAGTTATGCCGTTGCAGGTTTAACGTTACGGTGTAAACGAAATTCGAAACTACGTATGTTCCCTTACTTTTTAAATGATAGTAAATCTCTTTACTGCATGCTCGGAAAAGTAAGTCGTATTTAATAGACACGACATTGCGCAATGCTGAAAAAGATGCGCGTTTAAAATAACAATAAAGTGCAGAAAGATAATAGGATCGTAGTAGCAAAAACGATGATGAATGTTAGCCAAACTCCAATGGGATTAACAACATCGCAAAAATAAAACTCCGTCTAAACGACATAGTAGCTGTTCTTACTTTGCAACACACATTGAAAAACACGATGTGTACTTATATCTTGTGTGTGTACGATATGTACCTATATCTTTGAAACGTGGAACAAACATGCGTCTGAGATTTACTAGTACGTGTTATTCTATTTTTATCAACATGAATGTATTGTGTAGAATCAGTTGCATAATACTACATACTTAATCTATCACATTGTTTGAAAAATACACGAATGCAAGGAAATCGAAATACTCGGTGCGATAAATTTTACAATACATTAATTTTTCCGATATTGTTTGTTTTTATCATATGCGAAGATATCAAAAATATCATTAATCATTATTATTGAAAAAATTTTAGATTGCAATCAGCGCTACCTTGTTTTATTAATGATTAATAACCACGTTTAATTCTGACTGTTTGATTAATTAGATCTTGCATTTTAATCAGAAGAAGATTAATTATCGAAGTATGGTCGATAGATTTTACTTACTACTTGCGCGAGTTTAATGATACCAGGTATCGTTCTGAAGTAGGACACGTTCAACGTAATGCCTAACAGAGGGTTAGGTTGAACCGGTTCCGTCTTTACGGTAGGCACCTGTCGAGGATTGTTGCTGGCGTTATTGCTGGAACCGTCCATTGTCACAACGGTCTCCGACATCATATTATGTTTTCTTCGCGCCAAATATACCACGACGTAATTCGACGTATATTCGTCAGTGAAAGGGATACCGGTGTGAATATGAACACTAATAGAAAATAAAGATAACCGGTACCGCGACTGCCAAGTTCGAAACACCTGTTGGTTCACCACGGCCCGCACGGAGGCCTCACCATTGAACACTACCTACGTATTAGCCAACAACCCGCTGTTCCCCTACCGTATTCTATTTTCCCCCACCTTTATACAATTCCTTCTTTAACTTGTCAACGAAGTTGAAGCCAATCGCCACGTCTTACGAGTTTACCGGCTCTTTCACTTCTTCCTTATCTATGCCAACCGATAAATACATTTCATTCCATTTTGTACCTCCTTTTTAAAAATTCCACAAATTTTTAATATTTTTCCTCTGTAAACTCTATCATATTCGCTTTAGATCTCGGTTTATAATTCAATACAGAATTGCATCATGAATATTTGACAATCATGTAAAATATCTCTTCGCATCCCCACTTTAGAAAATTATACGATTATTAAAGTGTAGAATATCTTGTAACTTAAGAACTTTTAGAACAAAGTAGCTGTTAATTAAAATTTATGTGTGCGAATATCAATACTCTAGTAAATGTATGTTTGTCGAAGAATAAAAAATGGTGTATAACTTATTTGACTTAACCTTATTAATGAAATCATTGATATGATGGATGTATTTTTAAATAGATGCGCCTTGGCGCGGTTACAAGAGAATTTGGAAGATCATTGGTCACTCGAATAGAGATCGAACATGTGATGAAACGTAGAGGCAATGGTAAGCCAATAGCTTCTGACTGCACGTTATTTGCAACAGCGTAAACCAATCACCAAATTGCCCTAACGGAATCGACGTTGATACATCCCATTGGGAGAGCTGTTTTGTTCATCACTTGTAGGTTATCAATGATGCTTCAAGTGCCTCTCATGACGTATAAGACGTGTAATTTCGTGTTTTTTACATAAAGTAGTGAAACGTTGACCAGAGGCTTTGTGCATCGTAATAGGAGTATCGTATTTTATTAATCATCTTTTTAGAGGTATAGTATTTAAACTTGTATCTAGGTATAAACATTTGTGCAAGATGTCTTAGATATCCAGTACATTCATCGCATCGGTATGCAGATGATCGTCGGCTGAATTACGATATCATATATATTATTGCATATTTACTATGTTTTAAATTTCATACATCTATTTCTGTTTTGTTTATACTGTCACTGTTTTAAATTGCGATAAATAATTTTACATCCTTGTTTATTGCCTCGTTTCACAATTAACAAACAAATTGTTCCGTAAAAACATATTTTATATAGGTATACTTATTTTCAGCAAAATCTATACAAAATGTCTCTGTATCCAACTCTCGAAGACTTGAAGGTGGATCATATGATGAAGGTAAGATCAAACTTCTAGCTATATATATTTTTAACTGTAAAGTTATCTATTATTTCACATATTATATATTATATTTCGGGGATGAAAGAATATCGAGACTTCCCTTTTGGAATGTTGGGAAAAACCCCAATACCCTAGTCCAGACTTTTATTATAGCTACAGTTAAGTAAGAAAACTAAGTCTTAGTGTTCTAATCCGATTTTATGACAATGGGCTTGGGCTCGAAGTGACATAACGGGTCACTGAACGTAGCTACGGTCACGGGAGGGACGTGTACCTGACAGAGGTATGGGATAATTATGTAGCTCTCCTTAAAAACAAATATTAACCCGAGAAGTGGGAAGAAGAATATATAAGGGCAGTTCCACTTGGACTGCAGATCAGTTCATTCAGATAAGTTTTAATTGTACATTAAGTCATACGTGTATCACTTCATATTCGTCATCCCGTTGACCGTGAATTCGTTATCGAACTCAGGTTCGTTCCATTCGTTGTCGTCAACATTTCGACTATCCGATCGCCGTTATTACTAAATTCGAGTGAAGGTTCATCAAACGCCCAAAATCCCAACCTTAATCCAACATATTAATTTGCATATTAATTTATGTCATATTTGCAGGCTCAACTACAAATGGAGTCACAACACAATGTTTTACCTATATCGCAAGAACAAACTGAACCATCTGCACCTGCGCATAATACCCTTTCTAATATGTTATATCCTTCATTAGGAGAATATATGGGTTTGGAACTTACTGAAGAAATGATAGCACAAAATATGCCAGAATATTCTCATGTTAAACGGAATGTAAGTGATAGGACTTTAACTAACTTACAATTTACAGCAAAATAACTATAAAAAATCTATGTTTCAGATGATGGTACGTACACCTGTAACCTCAGGTCCTTTAGCAGGTATGGTTGCACCATTATCTGGCCAGTCTTTAGGATTACAGAGAGCACAAGTTACAAATGGTATAAGAGAAGTAAGTAATTTTCCATATTTATGTTATATGATATATATAAAATATTAGTATCTTATATCTTGAAAGGGAATAATCTTTTTATCTTATCGTTATAGTTGATATTATGCAAGGATAAAGATGGTAAAATTGGTATGAGAGTTAATAATGTAGATAATGGCATTTTCGTATGCCTAGTAAGGCAAAATTCGCCTGCTGCACTTGCTGGGTTACGATTTGGAGACCAAATTTTGAGTATCAATGATGTCTCTGTTGCTGGATATACAATGGAACAAGTTCACAAAATGCTCAAAAACGCTGACATTAATGGCATTAAAGTAATAGTAAGGGACAGGTCAGTTACATATCCTTTTTAGTCTGTAAAATTATAATTTTACTATTTTTTTATTAAATTTTGTCAATTCTAGACCATTTGAACGCACAGTAACAATGCACAAAGATAGGATAAAATATATTGGATTTCAGTTCAGAAATGGAAAAATAGTCTCTTTAATTAAAGATTCTTCTGCTGCCAAAAATGGACTTTTAACAAATCATCAAATATTAGAAGTTAACGGAAAGGTTTGTTACGACATAATAAATTTATATGTGTATTACAGTTAATAAGTTCGAATAATATCTTTTCCACAAAATGGTTTAGAATGTTATAGGGTTAAAAGACAAAGAAGTCACGGAAGAGATTGGGAAAGGCGGGAGTATAATCACGTTGACGATTATTCCATCGTATATTTTTGACCACATGATCAAAAAGTATATTTTCGTTAGTATATAACATTATGTCTAATTATATTGCAAATATTTTATCGAAATAATATTTTTCAGAATGAACAACAGTTTGTTGAAAACACTTATGGACCATTCTACACCAGATTTTTAAAATAGCCTTGAATTCGTATTTTAAAGTTAATTTTATATCTTATTTTTTTAGAGATATATATGTACGTCTTTCATATTACAATCACTATATATAAATCAGGTATAGTAGTGCGTTTATATTCCACATATATAAAAAGATATAATAAAAAGATAAAGATATAAGTCATATTAAAAAAATTAATATCTTTATATTACTTATTATTCGATTTTTTTAACTAAAAAGTTAATGGGAATAGTTGGAAGTTTTCATTATTTATCATATATAAAAGGAATGGTAATATATAAAAGTATATTTAGATCGTTTTTCATATTTACATAATACCTAACAAATATGTAATGCTTATTCATTTTATTATTTGGAATATAACCACTATTTATTACTATGTCCAGGGTATCTTTGTTATTTAAATAAGAATATTTGTTAATTCTTTTAAAAAAAAGGTTCATATCCTTTTTTAACAATTCAATTTATATGAAAGTATTTTAAACAATGACGCTTAATTATATTCGATATGTTTGTGCATATTTAAACAATTTCCATAGTATAAAAACTGCACATTACAGTTTTAATCTCTGATTTTTTATTACATTTATGTAATATTTTATCATATCTATTTTTTCTATTGATATAATCTTCATAGAATCTTTAGATAAAAATATAATATTTCGTATTGTATATTAGCAATGTGCCAATTCTGTACAAACTTGAAATAAAATGTATACTCCGTAGAATTAAAAGTTACTCAATACCTATATTTTGCTTTGTTCCTTTCTCATTCTTTATATTTTTGTCATTTCTTATCCTTATTTTGTGTTCTTTAATAAGTTTTCGTTCCTCCATGATTACTAATTTCCTCTGCTAATACGTATGTAATATAAATATGATAAACATCTCATAACGCACGCGCATTTGATATGCCTTAAACATGGCAGTGTGTGTTTTATTTGTCGTCCCTGCAAGTGTAGTAACACAACAATTATCAAAGTGAAATGTAGTATTAAATATTGTTATGATGAACGCGGGATATAATTGTCGGATTAAAGAATTATCATATATCCGTAATACCGCAGGCAAAGTTATTATCTATGTAAACCTAGGTACCGTAAAGTACTACTAGGAAGTGAGTGATATAAATGCGCTCGGCTATTAGTGTTATTTTGTCGAGTCCGGTACCCGACAACAAGATGTCTCATCCTGATTACGAGCAAACTGCTCATGATCATGCAGCATTGCTTCTACTTTTGAGGCCTATTGGTACACAAATCAAACAAAAGACTATTACCAGGTTATGTGAACGAATAATGAAAGCAGGCAGCAGATTCTCTGTGGCCGATTCTACTGGTGGAACGCGCGAAATTCTTGCTAGATTCGTTAGAGAACATCCTGTTGAAAATAACGATTGGGGAGATTTTCAAACTCACAGAAGATTGTTAGGGTTAATTACTTTTGGCAAATATGACAATCAAGTGGAGTTAAACGAGTTGTGCAGAGTCCATGAGACTTTAAAAGTAAAGTACAGTGCAACATTGTATGATTCACGTGCTATTCTTTTTGGGCCATTAGAATCAAATAACGCTCATGAACCACCAGCATCATATAGTACACCTTCGAATTTCAAAACCAGAGCTGTGTTTTATACAGACGAGACATGTCCTGATCTCGAAGTTCATGTAATGGAGTGCCTCAATTCTTTATTCTGGATTTTGGAATCCAAAAGATTAGAAAGATCAAGAGAAAAGATAGACAGGGTCTCTCTTTTACTAGCTCCTTTTGAAAAGAAAGATTTTATAGGATTAGATCTTGAATCTAGGAATAATAGAAAAAGATGTGTAGGTCGCATGACAAAACATTTGGGTGATTTATGTCTCCAAGCTGGTCTACCAGCAGATGCTTTGAGCAATTATAATTCTGCAGCTAGCGTACTACAAGCTGTAAATGATTGGTTGTGGCTAGGAGCAGCATTCGAAGGTTTATGTGCTGCATCTGCTTTAGTGCTATATCCAAATATGTGTAGAAGTCTTCCATTGCAGAGAAACTCTTCTCTTCAGGAAGGAAGTCCAGGTAAGCAGAGGTATGTATAGAACAAATTAATTTCAGAAATGGAAATTTAATGCTTTGGATAAAGAATGGATAATATTTCACTATATATAGAAGAGGTTCACAAGCTGTGGCAACTTTGCTATCACCCCCAGCTATAGAGGTGGTAAAGAGTAATATGCCACATATTTTGCTACCTGAAGAAATATCAAAAAAGTATCGCGAGGCAATAGTACATTACAGTAAATATCAATATGCTGGAATAATTGAGACAGAAGCTAGCTTTAAGGCTACAAGAATTTCAATAGAGCAAAATTGTACTTTACAAGCTGCTTCATACTTAAATAATGTCATACTTATAAATTTACCATTAAGCGAGCAAGAAAAAGTATGTAGTTTACGCGAGAATGTTTTTAATTTACTAAATGACAATAACAAGAAATTATACAATATTTTAGATTGATCGGTTCACTACATTATCAGATTTATACACAAGTTTTGGTTTTATAAGAAAAGCATCATTTTGTCTAAGATTAGCTGCAACAAGACATGTATCTCAAAATAATCCTAATCCAGATTGGCAACAGTGTTATAATTTAATGTTACAAGCTACTTCTGGATTTAAATTGTCCTTAGATCCTGTTGATATGTCTCCTGGTAATTTTTTTTATGACATAATTTTGCATCGTGTCGTAACGCGTTAGCGTTAAGGGAAAATTTGTTTGTATAGAAAACCATAGAGGCTGGCCAGTTATACAAATTCAGGTAATAAATGAACTTGTTACTGCCGCTAATCGCATGGGTAATCCAGCATTGGCGACAAGACACATGACATTTCTACTTCAAACAATGTACAATTACTTAACTCCTAATGAACGTAAAGAAACCGCTTTGCAACTTCAAAATGTATCTCAACAATGCGAAGGCGCTCCCGTACCTCTCGTAAGTTTTAGGAAAATGTTAGGATAACGTTTTCAGTGTTGAAAGTAAAATTACTCCCAATAGGTTTTAGATTCTGGGACAGTTATACCGCCTGCTAATTTAACAAATATTCCAAAAACTAAATCATTTATTTTAAAAAATATGCAACCACATCTTCAACCTCAAAAGATTGAAAGAGTCAAAGAAGATCATGGCCCATTTTTATTTACACCCATTAACTTTGGATCTTTAGAGAGGAAAAATATATCTAAGAGTAAAGTTGGTACGTACATGGATCGACTAGATGTTGCCTACAAAATTATATTATTTATAATTTACTATATAACAAATATAAATGATTACAGATTATTTATGGGTAGAAGGTGATATTTGCGAAGTATCCATGCAACTTATTAATCCCTTACCGTTTGAACTTCACGTTTCCAATATGAGGCTTCTTACAAATGGTGTAGTATTCGAGTCAATTCCCGAAAGTATTACGCTTCCTGCTGAATCAGGACCAATTGCGGTAACATTAGCGGGCAGGCCTAAAGAAATTGGAGATTTAGAGATTCTCGGCTTTAGTACGCATACATTAGGGGTGAAATCAAATTGTAGATTAAGGTATATGGAGGGAATGGTTCACTCTCAATATACTGTCGAGGTAGTTCCAGCTTTACCAAGAATAGAAGTAGTCACAAGTTTACCTCAAACTGCAAGCTTTAGCTCCGGAGATAATATAGTGACTAGCGCAAGTATATCACTATATGGTGGAGAAAGGTATGTCTATTATAAATAATTATAATAACAAATATATGACTGGAACCTAATAGCCATTTCTACGCTGTAGTGCCGAATGTACTGTAACAATTACAAATATTGGCCAAGTTCCTATCGAAACAATCGAACTATCAATACAATCAACATTAGACACATTACTCGAAAGTAAAATATTTAAATGGAGCGATAAAAATTTTATGGCACAGTTACCCATACAACCCGGCGCTAGTGCCAGTCTTACATTGTATTTATATGCGGCTACAGATTTTATAGCACCTACATCGCGAAATGGTAATATGATCAATTGCGTCTATCTTTTTCTTTCAATACAATGACAGTGTAATAAATTATTATATATTAAATATCTTTTAGATATTAGCAGCAGTACGTATCTCAGTCAGCCGAGCAGCTTAATGTCTCATTCAGGACACAGCTCGTTACCATCTAGATTAAGTTCCCCGTCGCATACAAAGAGACAATCCGAATTAACTTCCTCATTCAGATCAGGTTTAAGTTCTCATTCGGGCCATTCTTCTTTGGCAAGTTCGCGTTTATCCAAGCTCGCAGTTCCATTACATACTTCAAATGTTGTCGAAGGGCAATTGAAAATAAAGTATTCGGGTGGTACAGGTCTAACGGCAGGTTATTGTCGTATATCATCAGTTTTTATCACAATTGAGATGTTGCCTAGTGTACAAATTACAAATTGGGATGTACTTCCAGCAGAAACGTAAGTGTTTAACGAAAGAGTCGTATCTCATATTTCTATCTAAATACGTATACGTATATTTCCAGGCCGTCACAATTTTATCTTGTGTTAGATTTAACAAATATGACTAATCATGAAATGGAATTGCATTATACACAAACTAAATGTATATACATGGAGGGTAAAGAGCCTTGTAGAATTCCTGTACCGGTTGATAGATGTCCACTTAATAAATTATCAATGGTAATAAAGAATATCTTTTATTCATATTACAATTAAGAAATCTTACAATTAACAAGTAGTTTCTGTTTTATTGATAGTTAAATGGGGCAGGTGATATCGGAGAACTACAAAAAGTTTGTTCCGAGCATATAGCTTCATTAGTTGACCTACGGTGGCAATTATTGGGCACGGAATCGATCGGTAAAGCAACCCTTTCTGGCATCACTCTCACCCAAGATATGTTGGATCTCGTTAGAATGAGTCCCTTACAATGGGGTATGTTTGAATAATTATTTGTCGTATAATTATGATCCTTTAACTACCCTATATTAAATTGATAAATGTTTTTCAGAAATCAAAATAAACGATGTAACTGTAAAGGCACAAGATGAACTTACGTGTAGTTTAGGTGAATGCGTTAGTGTCGGAATAGGGATATGTAATGCTTTGGAACATCCACTAAGTGATCTTATGTTAACTATAAATTTTTATCAAGATCACCATAATGGTGTAAATAATTATCAATTAGAAACGAGATTATCCATTGCTGGCGCAAATAGAGTCATGCTTCCAGCAGTAAGTTATTTCAGTGATAAAAATATATACAGTCCTAATAATTGCATTTCCTTCTCTTTCTTTCTATTCTTTTTTAGTTACAGGAATATGGACGAGTTTATCACGAATGTCGTGTAGTATTCTTTACAGCTGGACAATATAAAATAGATATTCAATGTAGTAGTAAAGAGTCAACTCCAAATACGCCAGTTCTTTGTTCGGAATTGATAAACGCTGGACATACGTGGCGTTATATACCACCGATAGAAATAACTGTCGATGATTACTGATGTAAATGAAATTATTAAATGTGTGATTTATTAGACAGAGAGAAAAATAAAATGTATTTATGCTTTGTTATTATCACTGTATGCAGTAAGATGTAAAAACTTTTACCTTTTTTAATAAACTATCAAAGAATAATTGGTTTCTATGAATATTCCATTCCAATATATTTATATTTTACATATTTACTTTACAGATATGCCGCTATACGCGCTGCCGGTAAAAAGCATATTTTTACTACTGAGCAGCACACTCGAAATTCTATTTTGTTCTTCTGCAATTTGCCCTATATAGATTTCAACGGTAACTTCGTCAATAAGGTTTCCTTTTCTTTGATACAAAATTTTTTCGAATTTCGCGAAGATTATTTCTGGCTAAATATAACCCCAACCCCAACTAAAGTCTCAGTTTAAATTTTCTTTAAAATCGAACCTTGTGAATTAGTCTCTCGAATGTAACATACGTTACTGCACAACTGTCTTGATACATTTTTGCTTATGAAAATAAGTTGATCAAACTGCGCGTCAATCCTAGGGACGTTTTTTACTCTCCAAAGAAAGTTCTTTGCTGTAAATGGTTGGCCGTTCGTTACTAGTTACTAGTAGATATAGATATTTTTGGACTTTAGGTAAAATGGAAGGGTAGAAGATTACGGTCATATGAATCATTTATATGGCCGTGTAGAAGATATAGTTTATAGGGCAATCCTTTCGCTAGCTAATTCAAGGGCAGTGCTGCCAGTCACCTCAAGGCTACAATGCCATGTGATTTATAATTAAAGCCTTATCAATATCGCCCTTGTGTCGGAGGTCAGGGCAGGAATGGTTGTGTGTATTCATGTGTACGTGTGTGTGTGAAATGAAAATGAGAATGTGTGGTCTCCTCCGTAATCGACGGAACTGCCTTTGAGTAAACTACAGAAGGTATTTACCCTATAGTATATTGACATTTTTTAAAAATATAAACTAGGACGTGTGGCTGATACTAAATTATTGTATTTCACTTTATCAAACTATATCAATACCACAATTTGATTATGGTATTTATGATTAATAGTTACATACATAAACTTGAATGCAAATAATAAATAATACATTTGTCGCGTTAAAACAAAGTACTGTATGTAACTTAACGATTCATACAAATCTAGTTATTTGTTTTACGTTAACTTACAGTTCAAAGATAGCAATAATTAATAAAATCTTTATATGTTGGACAGATGTTGATAACTTACACGATACTTTTGTCATCACCATATTTACAAAATGGTGTTAATCCTCGTAGCTATTCATTTAAATGGAGACATATAAATAGATGTACATATAATATACATACATATATTGTCTGACATTTAACATAGAAAAAATCAGAGTGCGGGTCATCTGCTTCAAGGCTTACTCGTTGAAAAAATACTGCGTTCTGTGATATGAAATTCGACTGGAACAACACGCGATTTATTTTCCTTCTATCGGCATATTATATCATAATGCCGTCTTTTACTGTTATTTTACTTCCATGTTTTACTTCCTCGTTTGTACGACATGTAGTCACTGGTAACTTTAAAGAGAAGCATAAGCCAGAAGACAACACAGTGAATTGTTTTTTCCGAAAAATCGTTCGTGCGCAGAAAAATATGAGATGCATATATTTGCATGAAGTTACAGGCACTCAAATCAGCTACACTGTTATTCTTTTTTTTTCTCAATTTCTTTTTTTTTCGGGTTTAACCCACGTCTTCGAGCTTATACTCTGAATCTCGTTTTAACGAGGCATGACGTTCTCAAGAGAAGTATTATTTGGCAACGGACATATTTAATGACACGATTATAATTGACTATCAGACTGCGTTACGCATACGTACAACTTAAAATAATAATGACGCGGGAATGTTAATTATTTAAAATATGCAATGCTTCGCTTTCATTTTCATTTTAAACCGCAAAATTTCCAACTCGTTAAATTAAACTGCACGTCATACGGAATCGTTTGAACTCGTCTTAAATATGGAACATGTACGTAGGACAATCGAAAGTTCGACGGCGGTATACTAGTATGTATACTTCGTACGACTAATTAATTAACTATGGTTACTAGCTGCTTGGCAAAATGGTCAAGATTATGGGCAACGATCATGCATACAATGCAAAAATGGATCACGGATTAATACTGTACATACTAATATGTATATCTGAAAATGAACAAATTCTAGGTTAGGAGATTCTAGGAGAAAAATGACACCACGAAAAAACATTTATCTTAACGTTTGTACACTGATTTTGTGAAATGTAAAATTGACTAGTGCTACGAATGGAAAACTTTAATTTTTCGGGTGCCTGCGGCCTCTAGCTGAATATTACCAAATATTCTTACTAAACAGAGCGTTTAATTCAACAAAGGATACTTAATATGCACCTATACATATTGCACATGCCCTTTAACCAAACGTAGCTTTGTTATCTTAAACCATTTTACGTGTAAAATTAACTCTTAACCAAATAACCTTTCCTATTTGTAAGTATATCTAAAATTAAAATTATTATTATTGTACCTCTAAAAATGACTAAAAATTATGATTTTTAATATTCAGCCTATGAGGTGCCACGTTGACCTTTGCTACTATATGGATGGATTACATGTATTGGGCCTTTGCGGGCATAAAAACTCTACATGAACAAGAGACCTCCCATATTTTATCGTTTCTTTCACTTATCATATATATACCGGATCTATGATACGCTACCGTCATAAATATAATCATAGTGGAGACTTTTTGACTTCAATGATTCGTACCTTTGTTTTATATTCGCTAAAACGTCTTGGAACACAATAGTTTTTCTTTTATATACGATTGTACGTTTCGCGCGTTACAAGTGTCTCCTTTCGTGATGAAATTAAAAGAAAAACTCGACACAGTTATCTTCATTGATAGCTTCCTTAGATTCTACTCTAGTTCACGTTTACCGACGAAATTTCACTTAGAGTCATCTTTTTTTTTTTATATATATATATAAAAATCTAATCTCCACAGAATAATTGAAACGTACTTTAATTATTCACATTGGGCACAATCACACACCGATTTCCATTAATATTCAGAATGCTTTTAACGTCGATCGTTACACTTCGAACTTATGGATATTAATTCTATTTTATTTTCTATGCATATCCGTGTTCACAGTCGATGGCAGTTAAGCGCAGATCGGGCGAGTTTTCTGATGTTATTATTTTACATCTTTAAATATCGCGTCAAAAAATTTGAATAATCTAGCACTCCGTATTACACGTCTATCTACCATAGTATGAAAAATTATATCATTTATGGTAAACCTAGGATCTAACGTATCGATCTTAATCGTAAATTTTTATAACATTCTATGAGACTTATTGTATACCACTTAAGACTGACAGGACGCATTCGTAGATAGAGGGTTGGTTATTCATTTCACTCGTGTTTGACTTGCGCTTTAGTATGGACATCTGTTCCATATGACTGCTTATTTCGTTATGAATAAATAAAACCGTAGAACAATCGTCTTAAATGAGCCGGTTCAATATGAACTTTCCATGTATCTACGCGTTTCCATTCACTGATCTACCGTAAAACGTTTCGTGTACTACTACATTTATTATTAAATGTAAGTAGCAAAATAAACGAGCAATAAAACGGAAATAATTAAATTATTATAGTTTAATGTAAGCAATATAGTTTCATATAGTTAAAGAAGAATATTTTAAACAAGATACTGAAATAACGATAACTATGTTCAGTTTAAAATTTGTCGCTACAAACTCGAGTACTTCGCTGTCCTAATCACATTTGATATTGCACGATAAATTATATTAATTGCATAATTTCCGATATCGATACTTCGAAGAGCTGAAGACTTTTTATAATTAAACTTATTAAGAAGCACGTAAATGCACGTCAACGAAACAGATACGTTGTCTTCGATAATGAACGCAGTAAAAGATTAAGAAATTCCTCTAACTACAACGACGTAACATTTGGAGATCATAGGTGAAGAATATAATAAGTATATTTCTAACGATTCTCTGATTTTGATGTTACCTCATGATTACAATTTATTAGATTCAAACATGTAAATCTTTTAAAATTAACGATGAGTCGACGAAGCTTTGTGTAAGACAAAGATATATAATTATCGAGTCAAAAGCAACATTTTGATATTACAACGATAATTCTAAAATTTTAAAAAGCAAATAAAAAGATAATTTTGGTAACACGAGGCGAATTGATAACGTGCCGAATCTCGAAACTCCCTATAAAAAGTGTGAAATTTGGCTTATCGTATTCTTCCCCTGCAGTCTTCATTTGGCATTAGGAAATTGCGTTTATCGATTGTTCGCTCTTCAAGAGCAACAGGCAAGTCTTTCGAAGAAAATCGATCGCTCGATTTCATTGGAACTATTCGTGTAAAAATGCATAAAACCAATAAACATACTTATCGTTTTTAAAAAATGTGTGGTGCTAATTGCAATTTCCACAAAGAAACGGGCCTCGCGAACACCGTCACCTGACCCTTTTCTTTCCCGCCAACTAAAAAAACATAAAGCGGTGCTGGTCCATACGATGGTGTCTCGGTTTCCTTGATGTCAACCGCGGCAACCTTAGCTCGTTGTCTCTCGGCTCTCGACGCACTGACTGCTCTCCTCGACGGAGAGCCTAATGGTAAACTTTTAGGCGGCGCTCTTGGTACCCTTTTGATTTCTTGAAGTTCTAGTAATTCCGCGAACGTTTGCGAGGCCGATCTACCCGGTTCGTCCTCCAAGACACTGTCCGGTGGACTGTTCAATAATCTCGCGTACTTGCCATCCTGAGGTTGTTGCTGTTGCTGATGATGACTCTTCGTTTCATCCAGTCCGAGGTAATTTGGATTACAAAAGCCGAATTGACCTTCGCGTATCGTCGACGGGGTAACTATGGGGCGATACTGTTTGCTCTTTCGTCCTGATTGCCAGTCGTCGTCGGCCAGTGGATCACCGGGACTACGGGCTTCTATACTCGCGTAATCCGACGTCGATTCCTCACCTTCTTCTAAGTCAGCGAATCGAACCGACGCGGACGTAGGAATTTTTGACGTGGTCGGTGTTTTTGGTGTTTGTAGCGCCGCTTCGTAAAGGTGTGAGCTGTAACTCTCGCCTCGTGTCGGCTGACAGGCCTGATGCACAGCCGCGAAGTCTCTGGAAATTTCCAAGGATCTTCATCTCTGTATTCCTTACGTAACTTTCGTTGCGATTGTAACGTAGTAGATTGTAAAGTAGGTGGAAGCGACGTAGTAAAGGAAATACCGTCGATAGCGAAAGTTGATAGATTTCAATGATGAAGAATGGAATGCTGAGATATTACAAATTTTACTAGAAAGATATATTTCATTTGAAATTAATAATTTACATCGATTACTAAAAATAAGTAAAAACTAAAAAGAAGGTGCTCTATTTTTGAACGCAAGTGTATACACGTATGGTTGTGATTACGTCGGTCGTTGTTACCAATTAACACTTTATTTTACGGATTGTATCGCTTATCCATCCACCTAGTGACGCTTCCGCCTACAAAAATAGCAGTACGAAAGTGCACTTACCGCCTTTCCTCTTGAACTTCTATCAGCCTAGAGGTAGGAGGTTCCTTTCGTTCTTCGTTGTCGCTATTTTCGTCTGGGTCGACGAAAACAAGCCTGGCTGCTTCTACAGGTGTCAGGACCGGAGTTGGCAAGGTCAGAGCACGGAAATTCGGTACCGAGATAGGATCTCTTGTCATGCCGGGACCACCGGTTGCGTTGTTGCAATTGTTCGTGTCCACGTTTTTATATGTTGTTTCCGGCGGTTTCTGTCTTCTACGAGCTAGCGTATTAGCGCTTCGTGATTTCACCATACCCGTAGATGGCTCGACAACCTCGGAGTCCACTTGCTGAAACGGATAGTACGTATTCGCCTGCAGGCAGGCTCATTTGTCACATGCGTTTTCTGTGCAGATATAAAGCTTGATACGTGTGCATATAATACGAGTACGAGGGAATGGTTAAAAAAAAAACTATTTTTTTCATAAGTATCCGGGCACTTTGTTTGACGTGTATTTGAACAGTATTCGATTTTGACCAGAGTATACAGATTAGGAGAACGTAATTATGTCGAAAATGCAGCAGAGTTAATTTGTGTTGTGATTTAGAAATGACAGAATCTGAAAATAAGGAGCTTGTCAATTAACAAAATAATTTCGAAAGGTTCGAAGGAAATTAGAAACACAGTTGTATTATCGCATGCCAATTGGCTTCTAAAAGTCAATTTAATCGCGTCATAATATCCTATCGTACGTAACTATGGTAGTTATAAAGGATAACATTACAGCGATTCGATTTATTCACAATTTTGTAATTAAAATACACCTTGTTCGATATAGATAAGTGTCCGGATACTTAATACAAACGTAACTAAAAAGGGAACATACCTCTTGCGGACTTTCCTCGTTGTCATCTTGGCCACTTAAAACGGAATAGCTGCACTTTGTCGGATGACTTAGCCGCGATAGATTAATTTGCGACAATTTCGAAATTTCTTTAAGGAAGCTCGGTCTAGCCGGTGCTTCATTGGGCGATATCCTATTGTTACAAAGTCTCGTCCTTTGATTTCTCGGTTTTGGTTTCGAATTGTCGATATTGGTCCCTCGAATTATCAGTTCGGAAACTGCTAATGCAACGCTTTCCGCTCTTGGCTGGGGTTTAGGACTTGGCACTGATAATTTCTCCCACGTTTCCGTACCTTTCAAGAAGTTTCACACCTCGTATCTTTTTCGACGAACATAATCGTTGTGCTACTAATGTTTGGATTTTTTACCGAAATGAAACCTCCATAGTTCGTTCGTAGCTAAACCACCGCTTTCTCCACCGAATATTAGCATACAACTGGGAAGCCTGCAGGCTGCGTGTCCATGTAGAGGTCCTGGTCCTGGTTTGTTCTTCAACAGACACCAGGAAGCGGTCTTCACATCCCATCGCCAGCAATCGCTTCTCTCTTGTAGGTCGGTCATACCCCCATAAATGTACATGGCGTCACCGTGTAGAACTGCCGAGTGTTTGTGCCTCGCTGCTGGCCCGCTTTCGCTGGAGGAAAGAAGATGCCACGATTCCGTTTCTAAAACGTACATTATCGATCGTATCGTCAGCCACCTTTCAAAATATGTACATCATTAATAGATTTCCGATTCTTATGCGCTTATGGGAAATTTCAAGGTGCGAGAATGTACATAGAGTACGCGTAATATTCAAATATACATAAAATAAAGTATAAGAAACGAAGTGCATTGGGTGAAACTTTTTGTCTAAGTGCTATTCGTTTAGTTGCTTCTACAAACATATGAATTTGCATAAATGTCAACAGTTCAATCGTAAAAATTGTGAAATTTTACCGAAATGGAAAGCCCACAATTCTGGAGAACTGCCACGTAGATCTTGATAACCACCGTAAATGAGCATCTGACCACGATGAACTAAAGCAGTATGGCCTCTTCGACCTCTGGGAACCGCACAACCTCTCTGCGCTCTTACTTTCCTCCACATGTTGGTCTACAAGTAACAAATTCTCGAATGCAAAGAAAAATCCGGATACTTTTTGTGCTCGTCAAACGTTCGAGTATTTAGTTGATATTCGAACAAAGTATCAAAGCGCTTGTAGGCGTCTTTAAGAAGGAAACGATTAGAAATTTTATTGGCATCGTGATAAACCCCAAGTGCTGCAATTATATTGATAAAGTTTGACGATATTAGGCTTTTAGTCTTTTGGTAATCTTAGCGAGTATCAAAGGGTTAATCATTCGAGTCAGGTGACAATAGACGCGAGAATTCTCCAATTTCGACCAGACTGAAGGTTTCTGAATGGCGGATATAACTGGGGTTGCACGTAACAAAAGGCACACAAGAGTTCTAATTCGTCATTCCCCTATTTTGTCGTTCGAGTAGATTCCAGCTTGATATCTCAGGTCTAATGACAGCTTCTTCGGCATTATCGTATTTTGAATTATTCAAAAAAAAAAAGGGGGCGGAATGACGTATAGAATAAAGAGAAGCATACAATATCGTTAGTTGGTTAAATGCATCGATCTATTTTTAATCGTTTACCTTGAAAAAATACTGATGAAAATATGTAGGACATAAGCAACGCACGATTTGTTTTCGAAGGATAGCGGCGCTCTCCTCTATTTACCTGTTCTATATTTAATAGAAACATAACCGATGTCCGTATGTATTATGGCATGAGAATGAGAATTTTCGACCACATTTAAATACGAAGACCACAGAAGAACGTAACAAGTCAGATTTTCTACTTCGTATAGAAGAACAATTTTTAATTTCAATACATCGTTAACCAAATCTATTTATATCAGGACTACCTCTACATTTAAACTTCAGCATTAAACGTGTATTTTGTCATTCGTTCGTTTTCTCATGAAATCAATTACCAATATTCCTTCTGTGCGTTGTCATATGTGAGATAGCACCGACATTCGTATCTTTTGAAGCATAGTGGCGATCGCAGCGAGCCTTTCGCTCCAGTCCGTCGATGTGTAGCGTCAAAGAGAAGGAAGCAAATGCGTTGGCTTAGCCAAGGGTCTGCGATCGTACATGCAAAGGAAGGAAGATGGAAGGACGGTATATAAGCTATATAGCAGGGGTGCTGAAAGTAATTACGTAACTCCAAGTACGTGCCTAAAGTTGATAGGTCTGTATAGCCACTTGCGTCTACCCTGTATTACGGTACGAGGGGGTTGCGAAAGGGTGGAATACTAGCTAAATTCGCCATCCACGTTAAAACGCTGTAAAATTAGCGAGAGAACAGTTGGGTATCATCAATTACGCGAATCGCTGTAAAACGTTAAACAGACGCGCGATATATCGATGAATCTTCGCGTCTTCGCACTAAATCGAGCGGCTGCGATCAATTTAAAGAAAAAGAAAAAAAATATTCGACGGGATGAAATTTCTCTTCCGACTTCGAGAGACGTAAGCAAGAGAGAATTTTAACGAAGCTCGGAGGGAAGATGAGAAAGAGAGTGGAAAGAGAGCATACCACGAAGCAACCCCTCCGGCTTAACCAATCGGGTTCGCCTGACGGATTCGTAACGCGGATTTCAATAATACATTGCGAAGAGACAAGCAACGGGGAATATCCCAGGCCTTCGACATGGTCCAATGAATAAAAACAAACGGGCCAAGAGTAACCATAGCAACGCGGTAAAGAAAGTTCGGATTTTAGGGAAAATTAAAAAGAGAAAAGTAGGCGGGTCGTGTAATCTTAAGGTCGCGTGGGGAAAAACACAGGACAGGAGAAGAAATAGTTGAAGGGAGAAATGATCCGATAGATTCATAGTTTTCTTTCTCATCTGCGACCTTCGTTTTCTTTCTGACTTTCCTCGATAATTTATAAAGAATTAAAGGAAGACGTCATTTGTCTTTATACTTTCTAATATCCTCATTTTTCACAAGTGCATATTGCTGAAAGGAGAGGAATTATTAAGGCGAAACTGATACCACGTTTCATATGTGCCCCGGGTTTATCAATTTTTAATGGTATACAGGTTGAGGGAAGAGGAACCCTTGGGAGGATAAGCGCCGTTCAATTTCGAGGGTACGAAATGGAAGGAAGGGCTGTTGACACCAGCTGTTGTCAAAAAAATTACTCTGGTTAAACTGCAAGCATCAAAGAATTGTCAGATGTTGTCGAATATCGAATACAGGAGAAACATGATAAACTTTATCGGTAGACGCTACAGCTCTTTAAAAGATAAAAAAATGTAACTTATTATGTCTCTCCCCTGTAATCTTCGGTTATATCGATTTTTCACGTGACACAAGATAGTCGCTTGTCGGAACAAACAAATATATGGCACGATGTGTGCATCGATCGATGGAACTCGATACCTTTGAAAGGTAATGGCGGTAAATTGGAGATGACAGTGACGAATGATGCATCCACGACGGTCAATCATCACGAGAATAACAAGATGGCGGCCAGAGACTCGTGATCGATCGCGATATACGTCGAAAAAACTTAAGTCGAAATACGGGAGAAAATATAGTTCTACGTTTTCGACTTCCTTTTCGAATATACCACGATTTCTAGATCATATAGATCACATAGCATGATAGCACAGCTTGCAAAAGCCTTAATCACGTTACCCGATCTGCAAGGAAGGACACAAGTGCATAGGGGCTGCTGATGACGCTGAAGACAGATGAAAGAATAATACCCAGAGGAAACCACAACATCGATAGAAACGACGTAAAAGACAAACTACGACCCGATGTATCGGATGTACATGACAACTTGTCTTCTAGGGGAGTGGAAAAAGAGAGGGTTGGGTTCAGGAACCAGTAAACTACAACTAAGGACAACCATGAGACAAGCATAGCGAACAATCGTACGAAACCTATCGTTATACTGCATGAAGTGGCAAGAACTTTGAGGAACAGCTATTGTCTAATAGCTCTCGTTCCAAACGAGCAACCAAGAAGATCTCCCCTCTATTCGCTTTATGCGTAATTCCTAAAATCGTCGTTTTGTATCTTCGAACGAATTTCAGTAAATGGGACTAAATGAAAAGCATCGGAGCAAGATATTGTCAATCAAGGCCAACATGGTCCTTCGTCTGGTTTGTTCAACCGAGGGTGTCGAAACCCTCGACGCCAGGAGCATCGTAGGGCCAAATACCTCGAGGCTGCCGCGGCCCCGTCAAATCGAATCGCCTAAATTCGAATGAAACTAAATCTTCTTAACGAATTTAACCGGTACGCATAGCTGACGGTTCGTTTACGGGAATCTCGTATAAATTGAAATCAATTTCCTACTGAAATTCATTTTCGTAATTATTTATATATATATAGATATCTCGTCTTATATATACCTTATCTTACTTTATGTATAGTTATCTTATATTATCTTAGCCACTTATATCGTGGCAGTAAATAACATTGTTATTTATTTGAGTCGTAGATATTAGAAGTCTCTGTTATTTACGTGGCTTGAAATATCTTTTATTGGATATACTTGTATGTATACAAACGTATATCCCGATTTTCTCAAGGAGCAAGTCTCCAAAGACATTTTAGTATTTTTAATCTCCGTTTTACTTTGAGCCATAACATTTGCCCTGGTATAAGCAACGCAAGTTCGCAATCAAGACGCATCTCGATGCTTCCGATTCGATCGAACGAAGTTTACCGCGACACGTGTAACGTTCTTCGAGAGAGGGTGCAATCCGGTTTGCCTTGGGTGATACGTTACCTTGACATTGTAAACCCAAAGTGGCGTTTCCGTGCCTGCGGAAAAGCCGAGCTCACCCCCGAAAATGTAAAGGCAGTCCTTGTAAGCTACCGCGCTGTGTTCCTGAAGTGCTGGCGGTCTTTCTCCCCCAGGATGCAATTCCTCCCATTTACTGTCGGCTGTAAAGAAAATAAAGAAAGGGTTAACCCGTCAGCTCGTTATTCCAAACGTTTTCATATTCCAGACTCTCTCTCTCTCTCTCTCTCTCTCTCTCTCTCTTTGCATCAAGCTGGATAAACAAGATTTACGCGACTCTGGCTTTGTGCATTTTTCCGCTAGGGGGATGACGAAGTCGCGATTAAAAGAATTGCGACAGAGCGAAGGAACAAAGAGGCTCGTCTTATCGGTGTCGCGTGTTTCGCATCCAGACGGTATGCTTAATTTAGCGGCTGCAGTTTTTTTAATGTATGCCGTTGTTGCACGCTTTAATTACCTGTTTCCGCTGTAACGTGCAACGTGTATGCATACAGTTGTCCTAGTTTTTGCTAGGATAAAGAATGCCGTGCCACTTAACGGCACAAGCGGTGCCCTTATTTTTCGGCATATCTTCAGAAACTCGCTTACACTGCCAGCCATAAATATCAGGACACCTGTTCGTTACATATTTATGTAACAAATCTGAAGTCCGTTTGAATATTCGCAATCGATTCGAGTCAGTTGTCGATGCTTTGTACGAGACCGGCCAATGTCTCCACACTTGCGAACGAGAGCGCACGGGTGTTCGTGTGAAATTACTACATCGATGCAACACCGTGCAAAATTAGAAGGAAGACACGCAAAGGGAATCGTAATCTCAGGGGTATCTAGAAATCTTTTTCGACGCGCTAAATCACACTTTCACCCGCCTCGGCAATCTGCTGCTCTGAAATAAATCCTCGAAGCGGTCGGGGCTTCTTAGAAACAGAGGGACGACGGCGAATGTTGCAGTGTGTTCGAGGGATTAAATGCAAGCAGTGCCAAGGACGCGAAGAAAAAAGAACGAAATGTACGAGAAATAATTATACCGCGACTCGCGTATTAAAACAAAAACCACAGGGCGTCTGTGCAATCATGGTGCAACCGAGCAAGAAACGATTCCTCGTGAAGAAAGTAAGTGGAAAGCGAGGAGCGAAGGTCTCGCGTCGAGTAGATTTTCAAAATCGCGTTTTACTCGAGGACGAAGCCTCATACTCAAAATTCTATTATAATTTATTTTTTCATAAAGAATTGCTCCTTGTGAGTGTATATTACGATTGCAGGGACACCTTGTACGCTGACAAAACATCGTTCTTCTTTTTGCAAGAATCAGAGCATGATTTTTACGTAATCTACGTAAAAGCAGATCGAATAAATCTAAATTCATTCAACGTTAAGTTGATGACGCTTTGAAGGGTGCGTTAAAACTTGTTCCTTTATTGCATGGGTTTAACAAGAGATAGACGTTCTTTTTTTACCCTTCGGAAGTTTTACGAAAAGAGAAAAGGGACGCTCCCCTAATCCGCTCAGAAAAATAAAGGCAAAGGAAATCAGCGGGGCATGAAGTTACGTTATATCGTATGAATAAAGGAAGGACGAGATTTTTCTTGCCCGATGCCGAACAAAAGATTCTTTCTTCCACCTTCCACCTCTCGCTGTTCGTCTGTATTTTCCAACAAAAATCAAAAGAGTGTTCCTCTACGGTAAAAACGTTCGAATCGCAGCTTCGCACTGGAACGTGCTCGAGAACAAAGCGTACGAAATTTACGTAAGAAGCATAATGTGTTGGCTGAAGTAGTTGCGGCTCTCCTAGACTGACACTACAGATGCCCGACATTGATTACGAACACGTGTCGTATCTAGCTGGCTACGAAGCTATGCACCCTTTTGTTCGAAAAATGCTGTTCACAGGATAAAGTTCCGATGGCTTTGATGACAAAAAAAAGAAAATAATCGACCCGAAGCGAATAGAAACGATCGATCCGCTATGCATCTCTAATCTTTATCAAACTCGTCACAAATTAGGCATTCGATGTAAAAATGGATCGAGGCACGTGAATGGCTATAACACTAATTCATTTCAATATGTTGCATCAACGCACTTATCACAACTTCAAAGGCAAATATTGAAAAATGTTATTTCGCTCGCTTTCATTCGACAAATGTTTATAATACACTCGTTCGTGTTTAAGTTAACAGCTTGTTGAAAAATGTATTAAAGAAATCGATGTGTCATACAACGACTGAAACAAATATCTGCACGCTATTGGAGTTTTACCATCGTCATTAACGTTTTAGGATAGATATCGATTTAATAAATAGAAAATAAAGGACAAGAACCCTTTGAAATCCCCACCGATCGCAAAAGAGGGTGAAACAAAACATACAAGGACGAAGTACTCTTACGGTTCTTCGAGGTATCACAATATTTTTGCAAGATCAAGTATCGACAATGCTATGCTTTTAAAACATGCCAGGGGGTTACTCTGATAGTATTTGCCCCCAGGAGACAAACCGCCAACATGCAACCCTTCCGATGCCGCTTTAATATTCACCCGAAGCCGTAGCCGAACAATCCCTTTTGATGAATAGGGCACCTCGTGGACGTACCATCAACCATTGGAAATTCATTTTAGGATTTCGCCTCGTATTTTGCGTACAACGTCGAATTATCCACAGTAACGTGTTCTGCTTCGGATCATCGCACGATTTAAACGTTTCTTTCCTAAAAGAACGTAACGGGGACTTTGACCAATTTAAAATCCGCTCCCGTGAATTCGCTGGCTGATTCCGATATCGGAATCGGTCGATGTAGAGACCACAGGGAATACGTTTAGTGTGTTGCCAGTCAAGCAGATCGAAACTTGGCTAGGCTCTACGTGATCGGCTATTTAAGCCGAATAAGAGATGCTTCTATTTGATTCTTAGTAAACTTTTTCTGCTAAGACTAAGCCTGGTTTCCAGCGAATAATTCGCGATTGAAAAAACTGATCGATTTGAACACGATGCTACGAAATGATCGATACGATACGTCTCATAACTCTAAAATCGCTTTAACTTTTCGATTCAATTTCCAATACACTGCCTCGCCTGGTATACTATCCTAAAGTTTATTCGTTTTTAAATGATTCAGAAGGATAAACTTTGGGAACATAAATTTCCCAAAATTCTAAAATGTGTTGTTTCGCGTTTTATGTCTCTTTTTCTCACAAAACATTGTTTACCAGAAGATCGCTAATGTTAAAAGCATGTAAAGTTCAATAAAATTGTTTTCTCCGTATTTGATAACTAATGAATTGAAAGACGGATTTCATAAAAAATTTATGCATATAATCCCTACTATATGTCAGACAATAAATATCACTTAATGTTTACCTCTAGACACTCTACCTACGATATTTTTAATTCTTCTGAACTTGAAATGCGATTCACTCCCTATATCAGTGAAATATCAATTGCACTTTGCTTCTAGACGTCTCGTATAAGAATCGAAGTGTTTCGGCTGGTTTTACGGTTACGAGACGCAACAGCCAAACGCACGGTGCTGGTTATGACGCGTATAAGCCATGGATTATCACATGAGGGTGCAATTAATTCGCGTACGTCTGATCTCCGTGGAAACAGTCGTAATTGTGGAGTATCGCCGGCGGATTTAGTTGATATACGTGGGCTTTAATAATGGCGTATTATTGATCAGACTGAACCCCGTTTAAATTCCGTCGCGCACCCTCGTTCACCGAGCGAGATGGTAGGGTGCGTTGGTCAGAGATGTTGTTCGTGTACCGTATTCAAGTTACTCAGACGTCGTGTATTAATACCTCTTGTAATTACAAGGATTTTTTCCACCCACTAATTCCACTTTCCCTTTTCGCTTTCCATAATTCCGTCGTTAGTTGCAAAGCTCGCTACTAACTATTCGTACATATCGTCGGGCAAGAATTGAAAGCGATAGTAATTATCACTTACCGAGGCTGTATCGCCAGAGGTCTTTGAGAGGAAGATTGCCGTTTCGTCCGCCAAGGAGATATACGTGCCCTGCGAGCAAAGTAGCGCTGTGCTTGCTTCTGGAAGGTGGTGCGGGCCCATTTTCACTGCCAGCCGCAGTAACCGAGCTCCACATTTTCTTCCTGTAACAGAGAGATCTCGGAATTAGTTCTAGTGAAAGAAACGATTTAACGAGTGTTTTATTCGCCGAAATTGAGTGAAACGAAATTGAGAAAACTAGATTCGATTTGTAGTAAAAAAGTACAGACTGCGGATGTTGCTGTATTTTGCTGCAGTAACAGATGAATCAAAAATAGTTCAATGAGAATTGAACAAATGTTGACGAAGCGCACTTTCAAGATTACTATGTGGCCACTGTAACTTGGCTTATCGAGTATTTATCCGTAAGAAAGATAAATTTATGTCTTGACTGTGCTGATATAAATATAGAGAAACGAAATTATTACATAAAGTAGATTGCTTTGCTTCTTGTTTTAATAATCGCGAGTTGGACAGTGAGGAATGCGATATTCTTAAATGCCTCGTATGTTGGCTTTAAACGTATCAACGGCTACGCAGACGTATTTGAAATTCAATTACCGAAGCTTCGAAATCGAGTTTCGGGTAAACGAATGCACCCTCACGCACCCCAAACACGCGTACGCAAATACGTCTGCCAAGCAATACGCTCGCCGGTAGACGCGCCACGCCGTACAAATGGGATTCCCCATGGTATACCTATACTCGTTTTGTACAGTACCACCAAGAAAACGTGGCGGAGGGAAATCTGTGAAAATACGGAGAAAATAACGAACGTACAGTGGCTCGCGAAAATATTTGAACGTTTAGATTGAAACTTCTTACGAATATACTACGTGTGTTATACAAAATTTTTCGAGATTTCATTAGTACCATAACGAGGCACGACCACCGTGATTATATCGACAAAATCTGTAATTTAATAACTTGAGTCACTTATTGCAAAGATATTCTTAGTAAAAAAAATCAATGTAAAATCAATAAAAAATACAGTATGAAATTTGAAAAAGTTTCATGCAAGGCACGTAATGTATTCATACAATTCTTCTGTACTTTCGTGGGTCACTTTATGACATGCAATGTTGCTCAGGAAAATTCTAAATCACGCAAGTATCATTTATCGTCTTAGAGTTGAAACGTGAACCAAGAAGAAATAGAAATATCTTTTGCTAATGGGAATATTAATGACAAAAGAGGGAAGATCGAATAGTGCGTTAAACGAAGCAATTCCGTGTTGACATATCAATCTGGTTGAATAAATTAGGCTTTGAGGTGTAACCTCTCTGTAGTGGGCGGTCTAATTCAAATGAATGGAAATTCAACGATTCCCCCGTGAAACCGTGTTTAAATATAGGTGAAAAAGTTTCTCAAATATCAGTCGCTATTCGCAACTTCCTCGTATTTGTCGCATCGTTGCGTAACTTGCATTTTCACACTTTGTCAAATCGATGGCAAATGGTGTCTGACCCGGAAACAAGAAACGTACGAAAACATGTCGTTTGTTCTCGTTGCTTTCGACGTTCATCCTACTGGAAGTATACTCAAAGACACGGTCATTTTAATCTTTTATGATGCATCGACGCTACGTTTGCGTCTGCTTCGGCAAAAATGACGACAGTGTTGAAATCGTGAAATCACTGGCAAGAAACAAATCTTCAAGCGCAGACAAATTTTAGAACGAGCTCCGGTTCATAAATAATAGAATAGCTGAGCTCGCTTGCCCGATAATCTAGTAGCAAAATAACAATCCCAAAGATTTTATATAAGTTCCTAGTGATTTTTTTTTAGTTCTATCTTATCTTCTTCTAGTTCAAGTGCTCTAAAACTTAAGAACTCGTGTATAGTCGGACTCGATGGATTTTGTCCGGGCATATTTTCTCAACCTCTCTCGTTTGCTCGAGTATTGTTTTATCACAGCAATATCCCTTCGACTGCTGGCTCTTGAGCACTCTACGGGGAAGCGTTTTCTTCCTGCAACCCCTAACAACGTTGGAAACCGGCGTGTTATCGACCGGTGGCGGGAATTTCATTTTTCCCAGGTTCGATATGCTACGAGCGCGACCGCCAAGATTCGACTAGATTTTGATCCCCCGACTCCCTTTTCGTTTGAAAGGCAGAGGGAGGAATTCTGCGTGGAGGGTGAGCGAAAAGCATCCTCTCTCGCTCGCTCTGCTTAACTCGATTCGCGAGGGGATGCGTTACCGCTACCGGCTTCCGAAAAGGGAGCGTAGTCAGACAATTTCCTCTATCGCGTCGACACTCGCACTTCTCTTGATTCCTGTATTACGTGGCCCGATGTTCCTTTGCCGGCTGTTTCGCGTTGTTCGTCCAAGGACCTCTGTTTATGGCGCATTGCATCTTACAATCATAAAATCGTCAACAAACTTTCGATTCACGAATGAAACACCTAGAACCAAAGGAATGCAAGTGATACTTTTACGGCATTGCGTAAATCGCAATTTAACATTCAGAAGTGCTAAATCTTTCACTTTATGAATTATCGAATACGAAGAAAATCATTTTATCTCATTTGCATCCGTTTGGCACTGACGATCTTTCTGTTCTTCCCTCAACAAGACAGAGTATATTCACTGGAAGGAAGAGAAACGGTAGAGAGGCAGTTTATTCTTGTTTCGTAACCGTAGAACCAACATAGCATTACAATGGAATTGCAACGATAACATAGAAACACGTGGACCATCTGTTCTAATCGCGTGTCGTATCTATAAAAGTTGAGAAGTTTAAGGTTCTTTCACAATTATGTATTTTGAATGAATCGATCAACTTTTTGTGACGAGGATTATTTACCGAACATCATACATGCTGTCACTAAAAGCACTAAAAAGCCTTACTGAATTACGTGTTCGGTCGTTGCTCGTCGCTTGTTTTTGCCATACTGTCTGATCGTTAGCAAGTCGTCAACGTGGCAAGAAAAAAAGTTACGATTTTCTCGCGCGAAATTAATCTGTCGGACTTCATCACGTTACCTAGCCAAGCGTCGTTAACTGCACGACTTTTTTCTACGTGATCTTTGAAATGGACGTAATGCACGGGGGAGAATCGAGCGTAAAGATCTTATGAAACATACGCGGGTGTCTGAACAGCGTCAACGAATACCGGGAGCGAGGAAAATATACGTCAACCGATATAATATCTCCGTCTAGAGATTTTAAACAGCGGGCTCGCACCCCTCGTTCGAATACTAGAGAAGAAGGCAGGATTAGAGAAATGTGGCTGGTATTTTTCAGCGATTTCACAGTATCGATTCTTTCGTTGTCTACCGCGGAAAAATATGTAGGTATTTCCAGCAGCTTATCCTCCTATACGTTCCTACACGCTCGTATACGTTCCACTATTTTTCCTCTTTTTCGCCCCGGGTCCATGTTTCTATACCAAACTCTGGTTAAGGCGATAACAAATCGCGATAAGTGAGATCTATGAATGTCAAAGGCTACGGTTTTCGAATTCCTTCTATACACACGTTACTTCGTAATCTAGTACGAGCGGCATATTTGAAATATCAGAAGCTCTTAGCCATGCGCTAACAAAATCTTTTAAGCGAACTTTCACCTAAGGTTCGTTAACGCATTCTTACGTCGGAGAACGAAGACTGAGTTCTCATTACAGCGGATGCACGTGCAAAGAACCACTTTTCGCTGTACACCTGGCCGTGTAATCTTTTTCTCCCTTGCCTTTCTTCCGCATCTTTTCCTGTTTCTGTTCAGCGGACGCCAACTAAAAGTCATCCGGCGCATGCAACGTTGCACACCCCATAGGATGCAGAAAACTTCTCGCGTATCGCGTCGATCTTTGGACCCCTGTCGATTCATCGAAGCGAACGAAGGCATTAAAAATTCAAGCGTTGCTTAAGTGGCAATTCCCTTTAAATTAACGCCAATCTATATCGTGGATTCTTAATATCGAGTTACGATCGAACTTTTCTTCTTTCTTCAAAACGTTTACAAAGTGTCGTATGGCGGGCAATAAGAAGGAAGTAGGGGAAGTCGTTCCCTGTCATCGCGTTACGATGTAAAACGTCCCTGCCGTTTGACGCGTGTTTTCAATGACATCCTCTAGAAACCCTCCAGCGTGTCACCAGTGTCACTTGCGGTAGGATCCACGTAACCCCACGCATTCCCGTGTATAACTACGTCCGATGTAAATCATCTAAACGAAGCTTATAAAACGTAATCCCAATCACCGTGCAACACGAACGTGTCCGATCATTTTTCCAGGATATCGAATTTCTCGTTTCGTTGGTTCGTATCTATGATTAGATGTTGAACCTATGGTATGTGACTGTATAGATATTCGAGATTCAATTCGGCGCTTACTCGGACTCAACTAAATTGAAACCGCTTTACTAGCGCCAACTTGTTATTTGCTTCGCTTAAAATATTCTTTTAAGCCACGTACTCATTAAACGAGCCGCTGGGATCGAGGCGTGTTGATCAATCTGAATGAGAAATAGATAAATTCGTTTGCAAGGAATTTTTAGAATAGAACGAAACCTTAAAATAAAATCACGGAGCAACGTGATGCGAATTGATAATACTTGTTTCTGGATGGTCGCGGTATCGGTGCCCCTGAATAGAGTATTAGACCCAGTTAGGTTTCAATAAATGAAATTAATGCGGCGACAACAAAGATTCCGACAGTGTGCCGTCTGTGTCGTTTCTTCTGCACGATAGCAATTGCGTTGAGCGTGAGTTATTTCAAGTGCTACCTAATATTCGTCAGTGCGAAGATATTTGTGTCAAACAAACGCGGTGAATGACCTCGATCAGACCAGAGAAATTGTTTTCACACTGAAATGCATATCCTTAAAAAGACGACCAAACAGAAGTGCAGGATCGGCGAGAGATTTCGCTCGACACGCGAAAGTTTTTGAAAACGTAAAACACTATCTTCTTGCTAAAAGTTTCGTTTAAATTAAAACAAATTCGTACTTGACAACTTTTTCAAACTGAACTATTTCGGAAACGATGTCACCAGTGCAACATTGTTAATCTTAATTGTTATTTAGAGCCATAGAATTTTCCCAACTTCGATCGTACCACGAGCTTGAGACTCAAATTTTAGTCTATGCATCGCACAAATTTAAATCTCCCGTTGCGTACTGTAGATAATGTTAAAGAACTGAATCTTCAGCTTGTCGTTATAACGCGAGTATAACGCGGTGTCGTGTCACGTATATTGTTTCATATATTTATTTCAATAAAAAGTTACTCGTTATTCTCGAATAACTTCATTTTATTCGTAGTTCTGCTGGAATAAAATTTTATTCGAACAATGTCCAACTTTGTATCATGGTTTATAAAGAAGATAGAACAGCATACTTGGCTAACATTACGTGAAGAACATTGATTTTCCGTGAGGTTAAGGACACCGTAAACCGCATCTTCACCACGTGACTTCAACTTCACTGACTTCGTAATTTCTAAATATCATCTATTTTAAACCATTCGAGCTACGCGTTTAAACTCGTTTCCCATCTCGAACGTCGTTTATTGTTCACATTTCGCGTTAAGGATTTCTACAAGAAAAATATCGCACGCGACAAAGTTCCAAGTATCAGAGACAAAAGACCGCAATGTTTTCAGCTACTTCGACCCACGGTAAATCTCGAAGGAGCGGAAAACGTGACGAGCAGCGGGAACATTTGAAAAATGTTAAGAAGAACGAATTAATTATAAAGGTAGCCGGTAACGCTGGATGCCTGAGGGTAACGCAATTTTAACAAGCTTACCTCTCTACTCGGTAAACCCTCTATCTCGTTAGCTTTGGCGAATGCAACTTGTGACCCACATGCAAGCGACGATTAAATGCGACTAAGCCTGCCTTTACGGTGGTAAGAACATCGCTGAATGCTCCTCGGCGATTAACCTTTGATTCGGCGGAAACGCATCGTCTAATTGGTAGACCTTCGAATCTGTCGAATGACGTGGCCCAGAACGGTTAACAGAAGCAACAACGAAATCTCCGGTTCGTTGCCAGTGATCTCTTCAAATCGTCACAAACTCCACTTTCAACCTGTTGTTCCCAACGGCAGGTGTGACACGGTGAGCAAGAATCCAGCCGACCGCGGTATTCGAGTTTACACAGAACACACGGCGGACAAAAGACAGGTTCATCCTTAAACTGCTTCACCGCGACATATTGACTGTATCCAGCACCGGATATATCGCCAAGATATTGCCAATGTTGACAAGGATCGTTCTATTGGCGCACGACGTACGAAGTGTCACTCGGGTCATTCAGTACCATTCAGAAATTCCATGCATCTTTTATCTCGCCGCGGCATCGAGTCATTGATAATCTTTGCCTCGGCTCCGATAAACGTCTCCTTCATTTACGATCACTGCAAAGACGGGAGATTCATGGTACCGCGTAGTGATCTCGTCGAACCGTGGGATCACCGCGATCAATCTTCGACGGAGTGATTCACCGGGCAAACTTCGCCACGTTTCCTTGTTGCCATGGATCAAAAGAAAAGAAAAGCTAAGATGTGTCACGAGGACGGCACTCTGCGTGCTCGACGTTTCTTCCGTACTGCGTCCGGGTCGAGCACCTACCTCGTCGAGTCGTCATCGAG